TTCCAACCTAAACCATTCTATCATTCTATGATTCTATTTCACGGGGCAGGTTCGGGCTGCCGGAGGAGAGCAGCAGCATCCCTGGTAGGCCCGTCTCAAGGTGACACCGCAGGTCCGGGCGTTTGACAGAACAGGCCGTGTGTGCCCAGTATGGAATTACATAGAGCAGTGATCTGGAAAGTACAGTGCTGGCGCGAGACCCACCGATAATGCTCATCAAGAAGGGAATAACTTCTCCCTTAACACTGAGGCTGTGAAGAATAGCAAAGAATGATATTGCCTGCACCATGTTATTTACTATAATTGGTATGCCTAGCGTTTTGGCCTGTGCACTGCGACATCTAGGGACATTTTATTCAGAATAATCTCTAGGAAGCTACATGCATTTTCCAAAACCAAGATTTACTCACTCATGTGAGCAAAGTATTTGATGCTAAAACTCCCACCCCTCAAAACAGACAAAGGACCTAGATCTCACTGCGGGAAGCAACACTCAACAATCAACCCATGCTGTCAAAAGCACGGGACATCAAACCAATAGTTGATTAACAGTTATTTGGATTTCTTTCTGTAGTTGGTGGTGATGTTTTTCTTCAGATCTTTGAGATCTTGCCAGCCTCAAGGAGTGTAGTGATGAGGGGTAACAGTTTTAAACTGAAAGAGGGTAGATTTAGAGTAGATATTAGGAAGAAATTTTTCACTCTGAGGGCGGTCAGGCACTGGAACAGGTTGCCCAGGGAAGTTGTGGATGCCCCATCCCTGGAATTGTTCAAGGCCAGGCTGGATGGGGCTTTGAGCAACCTGGTCTAGTGGAAGGTGTCCTGCCCATGGCAGAGGGGTTGGAACTGGATGATCTTTAAAGTCCCTTCCAACTCTAACCATTCTATGATTCTATGATTGCAAGGACTAGGCAGCTGCTTTTAATAGGAGCTGAGTTTTCTGAGCATTGTCCCTTTCCAGGAGCAGAAACTTGAACAAGACCATTGAACACCTGAGTTAGCACCACCAAGATTTCGAAGTACTAGAGCCCTCCAAGACAACCTTTTGGATTAAGTGGCCTAGTTTCAAACGCACAGAACATCCCATTATTTTAATCTTGCACAATGCTTTCGAAATGCCGCGGGAAGGCACACCGTTGCAGAATGGACATGCTTTTGTTGAACCCAGTTCACACAGGAGTGTTTTTGTTGAGTCAGTGCAAGGCCTAGCAAGTGTGCTTCCTGAAGTAATTCTGTACAGCAGCAGGTGGCAGGCTAGTGCCATTTTTTGCCATTTTTTGCTTCTTGAACTCAAATACATCTTTTATCGATAGATGGCACTTGTCTCTGGATGAGATCTGTTTGGTGCTGTTGGGAGTAAACCAGTATCACAAGGTTCAGAAAACAGCTACTGAAATTCAATCAAATCTCTATCATTTTTAAATATTCATTTTTGGCCTTGTCAAGATGTATTACATAGCTACTGCGGTGCTCTAAAAAAAGGCTGAATCTAGCACAATTTATTTCAGCACTAATTTATTCTACAGCAGATACAGCAATATTTTAAGCAGTTGAGTGATCAGACATTGTGCTATGGATTTGCATTATATTAATGTTAACAATTATGGCATTGCTAAAAGTTCCTAATCAAAATTAGGGCCTGAAAGATTTAGCTGCATAAAAATATAGAATAAAAATAATGCCCACCCTGAAACCCATTAAAACTAATACACTCCCCCTAGTAAAGTTTCTAAACCCCACATATAGAAAGCTTCTTAATCATGTTACTTACACAGACAGATTTTCTTAATGGTGTCTGTAAACAGTTTTTAACATATAGATAATAGGTTATAGTGGGATCCCATCCACAGTCAGTTGTACATGACTACCAGCATTATATTTAGGCCAGTGGGAAATGAATCAAAGAATTTAATTTGAGACTTTTCAAACCGCAAATGAAATTAAAAGCGTAGGTTGAGCATGAACTACTAATGACTACAATTATTATTATGTGATGACACATACACAGTGAAACAAAGATGGCTAACCTAATTTTTTAGAAAGACTGCCATGCACAGAGTTGGACTTTCTTACTTTAACAGCCTGATTTTTTTCAACTGCCCTTCTACATCCACCTGCACTGAAAATAGCTAAATAACTCCATATGCTGTAAATCGGTGTTATAAAGATCGCAGGTGACTCTTTACTTAAATATTTCATTTAAGATATTTTACATTTTCATAAACCAAATAATGACCTTATTTTCCTTTGTCTAGTGACATAAAGTATCTTCATTTTTATTGATGGAATCTCTTTGTCGCCACTGTAAATGAAAGGAGAATTTAATCGTGAATAGCTGCAGGTGTCAATCAGCCAAGTGGAGGACTGTGTTTATAATAAAATTCATTGATAATAAAATTGCTTGATTAATACATCATTAATCAATCATACCTTCCTAGGCATCTGTCCAAACCATGATAACCTAAACATTGAATGTTTTAAACTGCAATAACATCAGTAGCACACATAAAAGATAAAAAGGAAACAGGTTTGGAATTGTCTTAGGATTATCTGAGATAGCAGAGCCAAACTAATTAATACCTGCTAGCATACTGCATCTCTCATTTTTATCTGTGACTTTGAGTCTTACTCTGTTTGTATTTTGTAGTGATATATTTATATTGCACAAGTGAATTACTCACTGACATACAAAGACACATGAGGAAGCCAAACAGGCATTGCTGATGGTTTTTATTGCAAAATATCAACTGCATTTTGTCCATGGTTCTTCATGAAAAGCAATGCTTTTGCTATTAAAACTGGAATAATTTTATGGGAGTGATATGCTGCTGAATATTACAGCTCTTGGAAAGTCTTTAGGGTTTTGGTCTCTCCTGTATGACTGATCTATCAGTG